CAATGGCACTGGTTCCTCTCCCCTCCCAGGGCCTCTCCTCCTGCAGCTGTGCACCTGGTCACTGCGCCCTCCTGTCTCGCAAGGCACTGCCACCCCCACCCCATCTCTTGGGTTCCCTTAAGGCAGTGGTTCTCAATCTGTGGGTCGCGACCCCTTTGGCCATCGGAAAACACATCTATAATTACATTATTATTTCAGTGACTAATCACTGCTTTCATTATGTTCAATTTGTAACAATGAAATTGGGGTCACCACACGAGGAACTGTATTAAAGGGTTGCCGCGTGAGGAAGGTTGAGAACCGTGCCTTAAGGCCATCCTCGTGGCCTCTGATTAAAGCTCCTTTCCCAGAGGTTTCAGAGTCGCCCTCCTGAGATCTTGCTAATATGCCAGCACCTCTGTGGCCCTTTGGGGAGAGCCCCCCCGTCTCTCTAGATAGACCCTCTAACTGTTGGAGTCTAGCAGCAACTGCCCAGGCTCTGGCTGACCTTCACGGTGCCCTCCCCTACCTCACCCCCCTGCCCATGCCAGGCTCACCATGGCTGCGGTGCCACCACGTCCACGTGCACAGGAAAGTGTGGGATCCGAGACCTAAGGGGAGGCTACAGACAAAGGGGTGACGCGGGCTCTGCTACGCACAAGCAAGCTGGCAGGAGCTCCGGCAGAGGGGGCGCCTGCAGAGGAAAGCGGGGTCGAGCTGCTGCCATCCATTTGGCTCGGAAATCACTGGAAAAGGCACCCCCAGGGTCCCAGCAAACCCCATTTCCTGCTCACCTTCAATGCGCTGTGTGGGCCTGAGTTTACATATGATCCCTACAGCCCTTACCTGCCACTGAGCAGTCACTGCTGCCTCCCCCCTCATCTCTTCACCCCCCCTCCCCCCCCTGTCCACTCTTCACCCTGCAGCTGCCCAGGGTCCCAATAAAACCTTTAGCTCTGTCTGCAGCTACTGTCTTGCTCTCCTTACAAGTGCTTTGTGCTCTGGCCGCGAGTTCATGCCAAGTCATCTCACCTTAACAGTCTGATACCAAATTGCTCATAAAATTCCTTCCTCCAGAAGCTTGTTTCCCCTGCAAGGCATCACACTTCTACCCTGTCCACGCAGACCCAACACCTTTAATTCTATCATCTATACCCCATTCAATTCTAGCTTCTCTCCCACCACCCCAGGTATGTCCTGAGACAAGCATGATTGTATGTCCCCACGTCTGATGTGCAGTATTTAAAATAAAATTATAGCCGAAACCGGTTTGGCTCAGTGGATAGAGCGTCGGCCTGCGGACTGAAAGGTCCCAGGTTCGATTCCGGTATACTGACCCAAACCCACATGAGTACATTTTAGGCGGACAGAGTTCATGGCGTCACCTCGCGATGCACCAGCTGTCCGTGCTCTTTCCATCACAGGGCACCTCGCCAATCTTGCACCCAGGTCCCTGTTCTAACACCTGGCACTCTCACAAGTTCTCAAACTCTGGGAAAGCGTGGACTTAGTAAATTGCATGAGAAACAAGCTTCTGCAGGTCACAGCATGGCCTGGTTTTGCCAAGACACATTCCTTCCTGCTCATCTGACCTGGCAAAAAAGACCCTCACCCTGAAGGTGCAAAAAAAGTTTAACAAGTAAATAAACAGAAAACTTTTCCCTGCAGAGAAACTCCAGGTAAAACTACAGAGCTTCCTTTTCCGGCTGTTTTATTAGTCAAGAAGAGTAAGATTCTTCTGTTCTGATGGCCAGAGGCTGTCATCCTACACTACACCCTGCACTGCCCGCCAGACCCTCACCCCCATTTAAGATGCCAATGAATCTGAAAAATACAGAACCAAGGCTCTATCATAGCAAACTAGGAAAATAATGAAATGTACAGCAGAGTGGACTATCATTTATTCACTAAAAATGATAATCATGCAAGCGATGTAAAAAATGACCATTCATGACATACATGTCAGTGAAATAAATAGGAAATAAGGTAAGTTTTAAGAGCATGATTCCATCCCTACCTACATTTTCAAAACAAAAGTAAGTGGAAAAAATAAATTCCAACCTCATGCTGTGTTTGATGGGCATGAAGTTGGGGGTTTACTTTTCCATTTTATTGGCTATCACTCACATGCTTTAGATTAATAATGCAAAAGTATGATCACCGTTCACATGCAGAGCTGACTTTAATGTGATCCTGACCCTGACCCCAAACCCCCATCCTGCTGGCTTAATGCCCCTTCTCTAACCTCCTCACCAGCCTCTCCTATGCCCCTCCTCCTGCCATGGTTGCCAAGGGAACCAGACCACATGCAAGCACATGGGTGTGGCCAAGTCAGGAACATGGATTGACAGGCAGGCAAGCTGCGGATCTCAAGGCCCTTGGTCGGCCTGCAGGCGTCAGGGTCTGATCGACATGATCTAAGTAGGAGCTGCCTGTCTCCCTGACCAGGAGGCAGGAAACCTTGTCTAACTGCTGTGGGCATGGCAGACCCTGTGCTCTGGGACGGGGACAGGACCAGCCCCGTCTGGTGGGCTCTGTGGCCGCAGTGCGCGTGGGCAACACTGCAGACGGTGGGCAGGCAACTTCACAGGCTCGGGCATCTAAAGTGCTGTATCCTTGGCTTACAACTGGAAATGTACCCATAAACAGGCTTTGTAATTGGAGTTGAGAAATGATATTTAAAAACAGAAAAAGAAATTGTGAAACTCACCTGTAACCCCCTTCATCTGTTTCTAAAAAGCACATATTAAACCCTTTGCATTGAGGTAATTCCAATCTTAAATCAAAGTCACAAAGGAAAAACAAAGCATTAAATCAGAATTAAAACATGGAATGGATTTTTCCTAAAAATGCAAGCAACCAACAGAAAGAGACATACAGCAAATAAACGGACAGCACATGGCATCATGGGAAATGTCTTTATTACATGTCGCTGATGGGAGTACATGGGTGCGAACAGAAAGGGGAGGCGGGCAGCCGGACAGGCGGGGCACCTGCTGCACCTGCTAATGAATGTGCTCCTCCGCGCAGACCCTGTGCCCGTGCCTAGTGCCTTCTCCCTCCCTGTGCCCGTCTGCACACGCACCTGCAGTGGCTGTTTAATGCAGAGCAGGGCCCTGCTCTATGCAAACTGCCAGCAGGCACGGAGGGTTCTAGAACATTCATTAGCAGCTATTCAGCGGGTGTCTGCGCTCTCCTGTCCTGGTCACGTGCAGTGGAGACGCCCCTATGAGCAGAGGCCGAGGGAGGGCCTTCCTGCTCCTGCGAGCCCCGCCCAGTGACACCCCCAGGCCCGCCCCTGGCCCCCGGCGCCGCACGGGCCTCGCGGCTCAAACCTGCTCTGCGCTCTGGCGGGCGGGGCTCTAGCCGCCCCGGGGCGTCTCGGCCAGGAAGGCCTGGCGCAGCTCGGCCTGGAAGGAATCTCAAACTGTAAGGGTGAACCAAGGACAAAAATAAGATATCCAGGGGCTGGTGATCATAAAATTAAGGTACTAGCCTTTCCAAAATAAACTTGGGGAGGAGGAGGGCGGGGCTCACACTCCCCGCACAGGGGGCGCTGTGGGGCTGGGGGTGCCTGACTCTGGGTCTTGGGGAGGAGGGGCTCACACTCCCCGCACAGGGGGCGCTATGGGGCTGGGGATCCCTGACTCTGGGTCTTGGGGAGGAGGGCGGGGCGGCTCACACTCCCCGCACAGGGGGCGCTGTGGGGCTGGGGGTGCCTGACTCTGGGCCTTGGGGAGGGGGGGGTCAGAC